CAATTGAATGTAAAGACCACAGACTAGAAGGTAAATAAATAAATAGAAGGTAATAAACGTTTATTCTTATTTCAATTTTTTTCAAATAAATTTAGTTTGTTATTGAGTTCAGMTATATTTGATTCTTCTACTAAAATAAATAAGCAAATTGTTATWATTTATTTATAATTATTAAAAACAGAATTCGAAAAAAAAAATAAATTTAGAGTTGCTTTTTCAATTCTTTTTGCTTTTCTGCTTCCTTTAACTTGTGGTTCAAATTTAACAATAACCTGGACAATCTGGAAAAATAGTTAGTACTGGTTCTTCTTCTAATCTTCTAATCTTTTTAAGATAAACTTTGACAAAATATGGATAAGCTGTTTCAATCTAGGAAAAATATGTTTTTTTTATGGTGGTTATAATTTTAATTATTTTTCTTTAGATTTACCGTATAACAGCCAGTTTTTATTTCACGAATTATATGTTTTGCTTCAAAATGTTTTTTACACACATGATCCTTAACAGTGAAAATACAGAATTTTTGGAATTATACGATTAAGCAACATTTTCCGTGGTAGGTATCGGAAATAAAGATAATTTTTCATTATTTTTAGCATAGCCACTTTTAAACTTGGACACACATTTTTTTCCCATTTCAGAATGTATAAACATGTATTAGAACAATATAAAATTGCTGAAGTAACCACCTCAGGTGCACTTTATTAGGCGGACTTTCGGAAACGAATGGCCCGCATACCGGGTGCGGCATCGGTTACGCCCATTGATAAATCGCRACTTCGAATTAATTAYAAYTGGCGATATTTCATATACATAACTAATTATTGATAGGGTATAATTTGAGAATTTTTCTAATTTTTTTTGATAATAAATGAATCCGTAACAGTTTTGTGTGTTTTATGAATACTTTCTGTTAATTTACCTAAGTTTTTACACTAAATGAATCTGTACCTGTTAGCGCCTCAAACTTTGATATCACAATCTCAAACTTTGACTTGGTTATCCAAATAATGGCTTTTTTTTTATTTAAACACACACCCGATTCGTGATTTATGACAAAATGGTATAATTTGCCAACAAAAAAATCATTTACTGGTAGCCGACCGCTTTAAAGGGTCTTTTTGTTGTAAACCTTGGAATCTTATCCCAATTGCAGTTCCCCATTGTCCCCTAAATTTACGATGGCACCAGTAGAAGGTCATAAATAAAAATGATTTTCAAAGTTAAGACGGAAAATTGCACTTAATTCAAAATTTAATTGGTATTTTTCTTTCTGATTTTGTAAACAATTGTAGGAAGTGAATCTGCGTAGGTCAGTATAAAAATTAGAATTAAACTTTTTGGGAGAAAATTACTTTTTATTTTTATTTTGGCTTTGTTTGTACATGAAAAATTACCAAAAAATTAGAGAATGTACCTTACTAATGCCCAGGCAAGTGTGAAAAAATTCAACAATTTTATTTAATTAAAGGTGGGGATTTTCTTTCTGGGCGTAACGGATGCCGCACCCGGTATATATATCATCCTTGTCTAAARATCGCGGCCACACKTCAGCCAACGCAGTGCATGCGYTCGCTGCATCACCTAAATATCTTACACCATGTTAACAGCTAATGGTAATCAAAATTGACAYKTTTTTTTAAATGTATACTTAGGGCTATGTATACTAATAAAAAATGTCCCTGTACTGTTTCGTTTTTATTGTTACAAATTTAAACGGATGATAGAATATTCAATTTTAAGATAAAAGTTTCTTTCCTATGAAGATATATCGTAATAGCTRCGCAAGGGAGCTATACCCCGTYAAAGGGGTGCTTCGTTTAATGGATTTTTTTCAATATTTCAGAAACTATCGYTTTATACACCCAAACGAATTCAAAAATAAAATGTCGAWWTTTTTTACTTAAAAGCGTCCAAACTGGGGGGTTTAGGGTAAAAAATACCTTAACTATTTTGGCTGTTGATTCTTGCCACTTTGAGCTACACAGTTCTAAATTTCATAATTTTTCACAAAAAATAGGTATCTTACGTTTTTTTTTTTGATATAACTTACCGTTTTTGAGTAAAATTGTTTAAGACGCCAATGATTAAAAATTTCGACAACTGATTTTGAATTCGTTCAGATTTTTATTTATTATAAATTATAAAAAATAAACATTAAACAAAAAAAATTCAAAGTGATAACAATTTAAAAAATCATAGTAATCAGTTCTCCCGATGACTTATCAGATCAGAAATGATAGTGATTTACTCATCCTCCATCACTATCCATTATTAAACCTGACTTTGACTGTAATGCACGCTGTAATTACTCGCTGCTATTGACAAGCAAACGATTATGCAATAAAAATCTCCCATGAGTAGTACTTAACTCATTTTTTTTTCGTTCACAAATTCGTAAAAAAGAACAAATAAAATGGAAACGACGGAAAACAAGCAAAAACTGGTTAAAATCCCACCCGATGGAGGTTATGGTTGGATCATAGTAWTCGCCAACGCTTTAAGCAACGTAAGTATTAATTGGGTTATTCAAATTATCGACTTTTTATGTAAAGTTAGTGCTTTGTGTAGTATTTGTGTTGGCAGTAGTGTGGCGCTAAGTTTAATTWTGTTTCAGTTCATTACAGTACCTCTGATTCATTGTTTCGGCCTTATSTTCAAAGATACATTCATCGAACTCGGCTTATCAGCGACTCAAGGYTCATTAATCATTAATTTGAATGGAGCTTTCGGAATGATGACTGGACTTATCAATGGTGTACTACTTAAAGTTTACGGGTGCAGAAAAGTTGCTTTTCTTGCCGCATTTTTACTTACAGGAGGAGTTGTACTTACCTCATTTTCCAAGAGTTTTGTTCACTTTGTTGTGTCTTACGGGCTCATAACTTGTAATAGTCACACTTTTGGGAAAAAAACTGATCTAAAGTTTGTTTTCTCGTAGCTTTGGGGATGGGTATGTGCCAATCAGCGTATGGACTAGCYCTGAATATGTACTTTAAARAAAAAAGAAACGTTGCGATGGGTTTTGCGGTTACTATAACCGGCTTAGGACCTATAATAATCCCTCAATTAATCGGTTTTTGATGACACAAAATGTTACTCTCATTTTCGGCGSTGTTTGTGCCCATGTTTTCATCGCGGCGATGTTACTACAACCGGTTGAGTGGCATATGAAAACCGAGRAACAAACAATCGAGCAATTACTCCCAGAAGTAGTAACAAAAACCGAAGAAACAGTTTGTGGACGACTCTTCAAAAACATAGTTAAAATGTTCGATTTGGACTTACTCAAAGACCCGATTTTCGTCAATATTATGATGGGCATGGCTTTGGCCATTTTCGCCGAATTAAATTTCACCGTTTTGACACCGTTCATGTTACAAGAATTCGGTTTGGATACGGCACAAACCGCAACTTTTCTTTCAACACTTGGAATCACGGATATCATTTTCCGGTTTTTTGCCCCTTACATCGGGAATTTTTTCACAAAACCACCACGACTCATGTATGCATACAGTCTCATTCTTCTAATTATCACCCGATTCAGTAAGTATAATAATAATAATGTGCCACCAATWTATTAAACCCAAATTGTAGCTTTTCTCATGTCGAACGACTTTTACCTCCTGCTAGTTATAGCTCTAGGTCTMGGAATTGCAAAAGGAATAAGAAAAGTCTACATGGGATTAGTGATCCCTGCTCATGTTCCTATCGAAAAACTAGCCTCTGCTAACGGAATGGAAATGATGATGAACGGATTTTGTATAAWAATTGGTGGTTTAGTTTTAGGTTTAGTTCGCGATGTWACGGGTAGTTACAGACTTTGTGTCGTCATAATGAACTGTGTTACCTTTACAACGATCTTAATGTGGTCACTTGAAGCCTTGATTGGCAAATGTAGGAAAAAGGAAAAGGTGTTTGACCATGGGATTCCTTTACAACAAGTCAATTCAAAAACCTAATTTTATTTATAAATCATACTGTATATTTTTTGTTAAATAAAATAATTATCTATCTATGCTAATTATCACATTCAAGCAGGTACTAACTAAAAAAATACCATTTGATTAATAATTATGTTTGATGATTTTTTTCGCGTAGAATATAATTTTTGTCGCTAAATCATTGTTCAATCTACATTTTAACGAAAAATAACCCACGATTCGAAAAACAATCATGAAAATGCAAATAATACCTAATTGGTATCGATAGTGCATAAGCGGTATTGCCATATCGCCCATAAGTATATCAGGACGGGCATAATGACAATAAATTTCGCCCTCACCGCAAGATAGAGGCGGTCTTTCGTAAAACAAACTATTACAAATACCAACAACACCGTTTCTAATATAAGTCAACGTCATTAATACCTTATAGAAGGGCTCGATAGAAGCCCTATAGCCCATACCGTACACGGAAAGAGCTAAAAGTGGTGCTAGGACCGAAGGCCCAACTACCGAACCATTAGTTATATTAAAAATGGAACCGATGCAATAACCTAAACCTTGAGACGTAATCCCAACTGCAAGCCCTGTTAAAGTAAACCCTAAAAACCTGTCAGTCTCCAAAGGCTGGTGTGTCATGAAATARACAATAGTTGAAAACATCATCCCCAAAATGATCTATAATTTACCCAAATCGTRAGAATTGACCTAGAGGGAGGAAAGTCGGTACTTACCAATGGTGGTAAAGTGACAACTGTCATGGCCGCATAATACGCCTTGAGTCCGTACCACCTATTAAAATATTCGCGTTTCATCAAACTCACTTCCAACGGAACTAAAATTTCTCATTTAGAAAAATCCACAAACAAGAATGACTTACACAAAAGCACCGGCATCATAACATGCGTGTACATAAAAAACACATTAATACAGACRCAATATTTAAAAATTGCGATCGTTTGTGCAGCGTCGTTCCCAATTCCATAGAAAATCCCACCGATTATTAAACCGGAGAGCAAATGATGGAAAAACTGGATGTAGAGTCCGAGACGATTCCGTCTCATTTGCAAAAACATGCGAGATAAGAGAATCGAAAATTGCACATTGAACGATGTGGGAAAATCGATATCGCTTTTCTGAATCACGACTTCAGTGGTGTCGTTATAAACACCATCGTTGGAGTATCCTTTCGCCGGTTTGTCGCTTTCGTAGCGTTCTTTCATGTTGACTTTTCCGTTTTGTATGGCCGTTTGAAAGCTTTGGATGAAGCTCGGTTGCGAGTGAATTAGTTCGATCACTGGTACAAAAAAAAATTATAATTGGTTTAATTTTTTAAAAAACGTACTGTAATCCGCCGGTGTGTTGTTTGAAGGGCAAGAGTGGCCGACGACGTTGAAAAATGGAACCAATTGGCTCGGAGAGCCGTTGTAAACACAATAGCCATTAGCTACAATGTATACCTGGAAAAAAACAAAATAAAATTAATAACGAAATAATAACTACAGAAATTTCGGTTTTTATTAATGAGAAAATTAACAGTATAGGCGAGGATTTGCATTTTAAATGAGACTAATTTTATATGCTAATTTTTGCAGACAGTAAAAAGTGTCGATTTTCAGGTTACCTCAGGAAAAGGCCTTGAATAATTTAGACGCTATTAGCTTTTTTTTGACCTGAGTCAAGGAATTCATAAGTTTTGCGCAACCGAAACATTTCCTGACCAAATATTTTCAGATTTTTGTAAACCAACGAGTTGTCATCGTCAAATACAACGTTATAAATAAAATTTTTATATGAAAATAAGTCAAAAAAATCTTTGCAAAACCGATTATCATAATTAAAGTTCAAACCAATTTTCAAGGAGAGCTGTTTTGGTAAACAACAAATTAATTTACCAAAACAGCTCTCCAAAATCAAATCTTGTTGTCTGAGATAAATGTATGATTTTTCCAAAGCAAATAAGACAAAATAGTTATTTATTGTAAGAGTGTGTTAGGTACCGTTTTATCCACGCAAGAATGTTTAACCGCGAGAACGTCAGTTCGAGCGGTTAATTTTCGTAAGTGGATAAGACGCGACTAACACACGACTGCAATATAACGTTTTATCCACAATCACAGGCCCAAATTATTCCAAACTTAAAAATTAAACTGACATTTAAACATCACGCCAAATGTGCTTTCGGTTAAAGGTAGTAAGCTGTTACGCGGTGCGCTGGTTACTAACAGTGGAATAAAGTTACTTTATTCCACTAGTGGATAAAGTGGTACTTTATACGCATCTAAAGTGTGGAATAAAGTCTCTTTATAGAGTGATTGTAGATAAAAATGTTTAAACGTTTTTTTTGAAGAAAAATTTCTGCAATGTGCTTTTGGTGATAAAAACAAGCTGCAAAAACCTTTTTAATTTTGATCAGTCTCAAGGAAATATTAATTTTTACGCAACCGGAAAATTTCCTAATAAAATATTTTCAGATTTTTGTAAAACATTGATTATCATCGTCAAACACAATGTTATAAATAAAATCGGTTTAGTATAAAAAATAAATCAAAAAAATATTTGCAAAACCGATATTCATAATTATAATTCAAATCGTTTTTCAATTTTCAAGATTAATTTTTTACCAAAACAGGTCTTCAAAATCAAATCCTTTTATCTTATWGAGATAAAGGTATAATTTTTGTTCAGTAGATAAGATTCCACATACAAAAACAACCTTTATTATTATTTTTTTGTAATTGAAAGTTTTATTAGAATAGGTGGAAAAATCCGGTAATTTCACCAAAGCTTTACAATTATTTCTCAAAAAAAAACAAATCTGGCTCGTGTACAAATCATACAAATATTTATTTATTCCGCAATTAACGTTAAAAAGAAGTTAAACAATTTATTACTTTTTGATAGACTACCGGTTTAATCATCCTTCACCGAAAAAAAAATTATAAACGCAAATAACAACATAAATCATGCAATTGATTAACTAATTACATCCGAGTTTTATATTAAAGGTCATTTTTTCCCGGATCCACATTTCGGAATTCAAGGACACTAACCACTCCAACGATGAAAAAACGAAGACACGTGTTTGACTATCCAAAAAATTTATATAAAAACCGGATGTACTTGAATAAATTTACCAGATATACATGAAATTCCTTTCAGGAATTATTAAATTCGCAATAATCGAGTAAATATTTATCTACAACTTTTGAGATAATATTTCTCAATTAATGAAAATTCGGAACGCATTGTCTCATTGTTCCACTTTCTTGTACTCATCTCAAGGCCACGAATACGCAATTTCTTGCGCAATTATTTCTAACATACCTGATCAAAATATTGAAAGATGGAAGCCGGAGGTTGATGAATGGTACAAACCACAGTTCGGTCCAACTGGCTGATTTTTTTCAGTAAATGAATACACTGGTTTATGGCAAAATTATCCAAACCACTGGTAAGAAACAAGAAAACATTTCGGTTGTGTCATTATTACAGACTTACGTCGTTGGCTCGTCCAGGAAAATCACCGGAGGATTATTAACTAGTTCAAGAGCAACACTTAACCTTTTACGTTGACCTCCTGATAGATGTTCACTTAGAGTATCCACACACTTTTCCAGCCCCAGAAGATCAATCACTTCGTGAATCACAGCCAGTTTATCACGATATTCGATATGGGAGCCTAGTTTGAGACAAGCAGCATATATCATCGCCTCTTTGACTGTTAATCTTGGTTGAATGCAATCCTCCTGCATGATATACGAAGACAATTTGTTGAAAATTTTCATATCTCGAGGCCGATCGTTGATTTTGATCGAACCTTTGACACCTCCGGTTCTGTAAAATTCCCTCAGTGATACCAACATAACCAAGAAGGATGATACCTACACGCAACCGGCGAGGATGTTCAGTAGGGAGCTTTTTCCGGCACCGCTTGGGCCCAAAATCGCTGTGAATTCGCCGCAACGAAATTTTCCGTTCACAGAATTCAAAATAGTCCTCCATCCTGGAAAAAAATTACCTCATTAGAACTAGACTTGATGACTTGAAAATTCAATAAAAAAAACAAGTGCGACAAGTGCATTAGTGCCAGACAGCAATTATATTTATTTATTGATTTATGTTTATTTCTCCTAATTGGCATTTTTTTACTCAACTCATCGGCGAAATTGTTTTTTTACAACTTCCTTCATTAAAATTTTGCTTTGTATTTAAATGTAGTCTTCATGCTAGACACGTAAGTTGCCTTCAAGGCGAACTCGGGTTAAAACGGACATGATTTCAATCGAATTGTGATTACAATTGTATGAAAAAATAAACATGTTTTCGACGGCGACCGTGGAAAAACTCCTTTGGACATTCTCGTGATCGACTCCACAATATGATTTCACTCACATTCGAGGAAACTCCAAGATAAAAGAGTGAAAGATAAGAATTTGTTTATAGTGGACTTTGCACAGGCGAATTTTTTTTAAATGTTCTTATGAGTCTTTGTTCTCTCATTATGCAACACGTGCCAATTTGAGAATAATAAATAAATTTCCGTATATTTTTTTTTTATTCCGATGATTACTTGATGTCGTCGTTACGAGCAAAATAAAGCACAAACAAACAATTATTCAATTGTACAATATTAAGTAAATGTTTTTTTAATAATTATTTCGACGTTGCATAAGTACGGTCAATGGGACTTTAATTAAGTGTTAATTACAAACAATTGTACATTTCAAAAGAATTCTTCCAACGACTAATCTAATCTAATGGTAATTATGGGAAAAACACTAATTACAACCAAACAATTAAAAAATACAAATGGTTCAATTGACCATTACGGAACAAGATTAATTAAATTTGAGAATAAATTAATGATGATTATTAAGGTCAAATATTTTGGGCAGTTGATTCAATTTCAAGTTCACTGATTATGATATTTCATATTTTGCTATGTAACTATGTTAACCTTTATCAAGGGCCAACYTGACCGGAAAAATATTTAATCCGAAGCAAAGTAGATTCAAGGCTTCAAGATATTTCAAACCGATCGTATTTACTTACTATTTAGCAATTGCAAATTAATTATAAGGTACGATGCTCTAACGGTAATACGCTTTCTCTAAGTTTCCATTAAAATTTAATTTAGATTTCAAATTTGCGAAATTTCCAAAATTAACAAATCGTTTTGACGTATAGAAAGTGCGACAAAAATGGTCTTTGTTGAAATTCCTCAGCTTCCTACGACATAAAATGACGTAATTTTCAAATGAAATGACCTTAATTGAAATCAATGCAATCTATTAAACATAAATAGAACGACAAAAATTGAAACATTTGGGAAATCCACTTATCACCTTATCAAAAACTATTTAGTGGATGTGTGGAAAATTAAAAAAAAAACTTATTTACTATTTTCGTCACCTATTCCAACATTCGAATGTTTAAACGCGTACAAATTACTTCTTTGTTTGTCTGATACCATTTTTTATTCAATTCAAGCCATTTTTTGTTTTTTATCTCTCAAATTATTAATTCAATAAAATGATAAGAAAGCGAAAAAATAGGTAATAAAAACAAACTCATGCGACAATCAAGCAAAAAAAWTTTTTTCWCACTTTTGAAAATCCAAAAAACTCACCCCCCTTAGCGTTACTGTCCCTTATCGAGTACTTCAAATCTTGAAATTCGACATCCAATTTTGGTCTTTTCGCAATTCGGTTYAACTGTTTTAACGGTTTATCCCTTAGAGGTATTTGGACCTCCTCTCTGGCCATTTTCACGTCCATTACTGAACACCAACAACAACGGAAAGCGCACAGCAATCGCGAAACGTCCCTACTATAGTGTTAAATTTGAGCGAGGAAACCTGCACGCTTTCACTGAACAATGTATAGTAAACTGAACCTTTCACGATTCGACTCCTGCCTTAAATCAGCGTTTACATCAAATTTCGATGATTTGCGGAAACGGTGTGACAATGACCATAAACTTGCACTTCTTGCAAATGATGGCCTTGACTCTTCTATGTAGTTTKCGAGCCAACTGGTTTTACCTAGACCGATTAGAAAATTAAGGCTGTAAATTGAGCACAATTCGGCCAAGTTTAACATCTTTGATAAAAGCAGCATGCAAAATTTTCCAAGAGAATTAAATTGAGATCAAAAGTGCACGAGAACAGTTTGATATCAAAAATTCAAGAGCTAATCTCAGTTTCAAATTGTCACACTAGGAAAAACTATACAAACGTATCCTCGAGCGAATTGACACTTTTTTTCACGCTTGGAAAGTATTATCTAAATATCGTTAAGTCAATAAAATAACTTTCTTTCCACTGATCATACTCGCAAAATTTTTATCAGATTTTTAATGATATAAAAAAGATTAAAAAACCACTTTTATTGTATCAAAATGTTATTCAACAATAAATTACTGCATTATAACCCAAAATACAAATAAAAAAGTCCCGGGTGATTTAAACCAGTATCCGTGAAAACCCAAAAGAGATAATGACATAATTGGATGAAGGACATTTTGACACAATTTTTTTTTTCTTGTTGCAAAATTTTGTTACGATATTTGCTTTTAATTTGTTCGCATCGTTAACTTTAAAAATGAAAGTGGTAATATTTCGAAACTTCTAGAATTCTCTAGAAGTATTGAAAAAAAATCATACACATTTGTGCAATCAATAAATTTATTTTCGAATCATAACTTTATTTTTCTTATTACAAAATTTAAATGTATGCAACGTTGCTATATATAATGTATTATTAGTTGCATACTTGACTTATTTATTTCTAAGTTTGCTAAAAAACAACAGTCTTAAGTAATTTGGATTTGCAAGATTTGAAAAATCAGTTTCTCTCACATATCGACACCCATATAAATCCAAATATTTACAAAACTTATCGTTAGTTTTTTCAAGAATAATGTCATAATGTTTCTTTACAAAAAAATCGGGAAACCGATTAACAATAATGTTCAACACTTGATAGAAAATGTCCGAACCTTTACTGTCAATCAAACATTTATAAAACTTTTCGTCTTCAAAAATCATGACTAGGTTCAAATACACCACAAAATTCTTCTCTCTATCTTGAGATTTTTCAACAATCTTTGACAAAATCTTCAACATTTTAACTAAAACACTGCCGTCTTCACAATTTTTCAAAAGTAGGGCAAAAATCTGACTCAAAAACGCCAAACTTCCGCACAAAATCTTTACTCCGACAGTGATTTCACAACAAGCCTCAAACACTTCCAAAATTAAGAATCTCGTATGTGTGTCACAAACACTACTCGAACACAATTCCGAAATTAACTTAAATCCCATCGACCTCAATAGCGTTGTAAAATCCTTGTCATCCCTCAAACCGTCCCTCAAAACCTCCAGAATGAAATTCTTGTGTTCCCGGGAATTCACATGAGGACTGTGCAAAAACGTGTAAAGTTCCGGAATCCCGGAAAAATCTAGTGAATCCTTCGCGGCCAAATACTGAGTCAAGGGCACGTACATAACATCGGTCGGTTGTGCCAAAACCAGTGCCGTTCGTGATAGAAAAATCCCAACGAAATTGTTTATTTTGAAATCTTCAAGCACCACAATTCCCTTACAAATTGCCTCGATAAATCGCAACCACAATAAGTTGTCTTTTCCGGTCTGTTTCGCCTCCAAATGAAAGTAAAAGCGTTGCAAAACATGACAAGTGGCCAATCTTTGGGACTTGTCACCACGAAATCCAGTAAGGGCCAAAGCTAGCGCTCCGGTTTTGGTAAAACGGTAAGTGGCAACCGGATTTTCCGGTGACAAGATGTGGATAAACATAGGTAGAAAGTAGTCAAGGTCGTAGGAATTCCGACCTTGTGGATTGTTTATCGTCGAGATGATTGTACCAAGATGGAGATTATTCAAAATATCGGCCATTTTTGGTTGTCGCCATAGCACTTTCTGTATGTCTGAACGGACCGAGTAGTGGGAAGCGGCGGCGCGCCCCCATAGAAAAGGTTTAAAATCGAAAAATTGCGTTTGCTCGGCGCGCGCCTCGTACCTAAAATATAACAAAATTTACTCTTGGGCAAACGAGTTTTTCTGTACTCACATTTTTAATAAATGTAGAATAATTTTATCGGACTTTGTGGCCTTGTAGGCCGATAAAAGCACCGGAATGTGAGACCTTTCCATGAATTGGGACCACTTCTTGCACAAAATTAGCCACAAATTTGCAATTTCTTCATGAGAGTCACTTAAGACAACATCCAAAAAGTGCGAATGTGACAATAACATTTCCAAAATCAATTTTCCCTCACCTTCCCCAATGCATAACTGGACCAATTGTGACAAAATCTTGACCAAAACAAAATCCCCACTGACTCCATACTTGAGACAAAGTTTGCAAAACATTTTAAAAGTTTCATTCGAACTCAGTGAGGTCAAATCAAATTTTTCCTTCGGAATTTCATTTAAAAAATCGTAAAAAATTTCACCAATCTCGGCCAAATTCTCCACACTTTTTGTCCCACTTTTTTGCTTCAAGAGATTCATCAGCAGGTGAATCAATGTCATAATAATGTCCCCCAAGACTTTCTCGTTCTTATCGACWTTATCGTAACGTTTTTTCAATAAATAAAAATGAAACAATTCACAAGTCTCAAATTTCTGGATTTGAGACCCAGTATCACACTTCATAAACTTCTCGATTAAAATTCCAACACTCTGATAGTGATTTTGAAAATGTTGACCGGCTTTATGCGGTTTTTGCAACGCTTTAATTACGTAACTTTCACATTTATTGAAGATTTTTTCGAGCAAAACATCATCACATTTCTGAACTACGACATCCAATAAAAAKAGAATAAAACTTCGCTTTGAACAAATCACGTCGAGGTTGTTTTCAAARTTTGARAGAATTTCCGACTTTCGGTCCAAGAGAAATTCACAAAGCRAAAGATTGTCTTTATTGAATTCGGTCAKTGAGACCAAACTAYCGAATAGTTTACTTTCAACACCTTCAAGATTGTGTGGAAAAACTTTCAAATAGTTTAAGAGAGATAACGACAAGTTATGCGAATTGGGAACTTGTTTCTSGAGTAAGTTTTGCAAAATTTGTGACAATTTTCCGACAGTTTCGTTACTCAAAGGTTGCAAATTCGAATCGTTTTCAGACATCCGATCTAAACAATAACACGCAATGAGAAAAAAACGCTTAGTTTCCAGCGAATTTACGAATTTTTCGAGCAATTTGCGACATTGTTCGTAACTCAAAGTCACAGTCTCGATAATTTCGATTGAAAGTGTCGCATTWTCGTATTTGTCACTTTTACGAAAAACTTTCRAAATGACTGAAACTATTTTACGACGAAAATATGCCAAATACTCATCGATGTTTCTATTTTTCGCACCTTTAATCACGATGAGGATTAATTTTGTTAAAAAATCGTTCGAATCGAAGAGAGTWAAATTACGTAATAAAATTGGATTTCCCAATATCGTTTTAACGTAACGATCATCGAAAGTATCATCAGATATTGAACCAATAACAAATTTGAAAGTATTTTTTATTTGATTTTCTTTTAACATATCTGCTTTAATTAAATTTGTTATGTAAAATATGGCACACTGTAATAAATTCAATTTAAAGTTCGGATACAAATCACAGGTAAAATTCTCTAAGTCCTGGTTGAGAAAATCATTCGAAAACTTGTGAAACTCTTCTAGAATTTTTCCTTTACATTTGGGCAGATTTGTAACCACCAAATTACTCCAATTGTTGATATATTCCAACAAATCACTTGATAAAAATTCAAAATTTGACACGATTTTAACAAAAGCGTTTGCATCCACTTGCAAATGAAACAAATTCAAAATAACAAAATTGAAATAGTTTTTCAACGACTTGGAGACACCATCAATCCCCAGCAAAAGCGGACTAAAATTGCCCCCCTGAAACTCAAACAATTTTTTATTAAACTCGCTCGAATTCTCGTCAATTTTTCTGATAAGAGAACAAACAAAATTCGCTACGTTTTCATCGTAACTTTTCAAATTCAAAACTCCATCAATCCAGAGATCAATTTCAGGCAAAAACCCATCAAATAATCCCGTATTTTGTAAAACCTGAGTCAACACTTCCAAAACAGTTGAATCTTTACTTTTGTAATAAATTTCAAAAGAAAACAAGACAACCATTTCAAATAAATCGGTTTTAGGCCGAAACAGGGCCGGCTCCAAATTCAGGAAAAATTTAACAACCTTGACTTGCAATCGACGCGAATTTTCCAACGTTTCGCATTTAGTTAAGAATTGTTTCAGGTCGACAGTAAAAGAAAACTCTTCTAGGACATTCGGACATAGACATTTGTATGTCTCTAGCAAATCCAGAGCCGTATCGAGGTAATCACAAAGAGACAAATCGTCATCTTTTTGGTCCCATTCATTCAAAATTAATTCAACATCGGGAAAATTTCGCTGAATGTGGTTCGACAACGACGCTTTCAACACGTCTTGGTCAACATTCCAGGTTTTTGACCAGTTTAAATAATTCTCAACCGATTTGGCCATTTTTAAACACAAAGACATTACATGATACTTGACAGAGGGTTGCTCAAATGTGCGATTTTGCGGAATTATGGTTTTCAAAACCGGTAAAGGCGCGGATAAAATAGTCACTATTTGGCCGATCTAAAACAACAAATTAGTTTCATCACAAGACTTCACTCAAATTACCTGATAAACATTTAAATTGTTTACACAAGACTCAATACAGTCGGGTTGAAGCTCGTCGAGGAGTGTTTTCGCAAATTTGATTGCATTTAACCACTTGACGGTCATCCGAGGCTGAAGAAACTGCCTCAAATTCAACCACATTGTCTTCGAGAGGTCCGGACAAGCCTTGCAAATTTTGGTAACAAGTTCCCCGGCGTATGAGTGCTCCCAGGGCCGGTCTAGACTTTCCAGRACCGTATACACGAGTGAATTTTGACGTTTCCCCAAACCGACAAGAGGGTCTTTGAAAATCACACCGTATTTATGCGAAGTGCACAAAACCAACAAAAAAGAATGAACGGCTTCGCTCACTTTAGACTTATCAATATCGTCAACAAAAACACTTTTGTTTTTCTTTTTTTCGGTTAAACCGGCCGGTCCTTTCCAATTATATAAATTGACAATGTCTCGTACTACCGGTGTACTAAAAGTCTTCATTTTGACCGTTTTCGAAACGAAATTATTTTCCAAAATGTGATTTTTCATCGCTGTTAAAACCAAAACAACAACATCGACTTTATCGTACAACAAACCGTTCACAATACTCGTCATAAATCCTTTTTTTTCTAAAAGTACCGAAAGAACGGGAAAATGYCCATCAATTAAAAACGCGGTTAGAAAATGTATAAAAGCCGACCGGACTTCACTCTTCCCTTCGCTCGCTTTCGYCAACAATTCCACATTGGTTGGATTAAAATTAACATGTAGTAAAATATCCTTCGCTAAAACCACCGAAAACGTAACAATTGTCGTTAAAAGTCGCAATGCGACCACACGTTCCCTCGTACTCGAACTCAAACCTAACATTTTATTGATTAAAGTAACATAGGTGTTGAGCAAATAGCGACAAGCTTCGAAAGCCCCGTTCTGATATTGGGGTAACTTCGACCCGATTTGTAACAAAATCGTATTTACGACGTCAAAAACTAACACGGGGGAGACTACCGACTCGCCTTCCATCAATTGGAGGATTTCTAAGGCACTACCTCCGGCATCCAAGTATCCCTTGATGAAGTCCTGTTTGGAGTCTTCGACACATTGAGAAAATCCCTGAAGGGCTTCGCAAAAATCACAAAATTGATTCGGGAATGYCAAAAAGACCTACCTTGGATGGTTTCACCGGTTTTTAACCGTTTTCGGAAGTCCTTACCGGATAAACTTAACCTCATTTTTTTAATCGGAAGTGTTTCAACCGGCGATAGAGGCCTTTTTGACGCTTCAGGGGCTACATTTTGTGACTYTAAGTCGTCTCCCATCTCCTTCGTTCTTAWTTAATAAAAATAAAAAACACAAATTGATCACCTTTCGAAAACAATAACACGTGTTCTGTCAAATGTCAAAAACAAGACAGAAAAGTCAGAAACAGTATTCGGATGATAATGTAGTTATCTACATCAACAATGTGTATGTTTAGTTGCCTATGTTAATTTTATTGGAGAATAAAWATGCATAAGAAATGATTAATTGAGTGTGAAATATGAATTTGTCGTTTTTTTGCAATCTCAACAAATTTATTACACATAAAAGTCGACCTCTGATACATTTGTTGTAATAAAAAGTGATTACATAAATACATATTGTTCCGACCACAAAAAAGCTCAACTTTCCCAACACACAATTGCAATTACCTCTGCAATAACCCTTCAAACCTTGAAAAATATCTACAACAAATAATTACGAAAATCGATTTCAATCAATTACTTCATATTCATATTTCACCAACTATATAAAGCCCCGATTTTAACACTTTGAATCAAATCATTCGAAATGTTGTTCCGATTGGTTTTAATTTTTCTCCCTTTAATTTTCGCTTATAAATCCGAATTCGGTAAACAATTCGACGCTTTGCAATTCTCTTCCGGGGGTGAAAAAGCCTCCAGTGGTTACCTCGGCCACCACCAGACCCACGATGGGGTGCAAGGCCACCACGCCAAAGAAAACCATCAAAAACACTACGCCGAAAATCAAGGTCAGAAAAAAGGCCATAACCATCAGGATGGTTATTACGCCGACCATCATCAAGGCCATAAAGGTCGCAACGGCTACCACTACGAAGACCACGGTAAATACGCCAAAGGCCACAGCACGAAAGGCCACCACAATGTACACAAACTCGACGAATACAAGAAAAACACCGATTTCTTCGATGAAAACAACGACGAAGGGTTCGAGGAGAAGCACGGAGGGTACGAATTGACGCGAGCGGTTGCAAAAGGCGGCCATAATTCTGGGGGACACTTCAAAAAARGTCACGAGAGCGGGAATTACGGCCTTGTGGGTTTCGTCGATAAAGGAGCGCATTTTTTCAACGATCAAGGACACAAAAAAGCACAAGGAGATGAAGGATACTATGGGAATCACGCGCAATTTGCCAAACATGGAGCACAAGATGGGTTYAAAAAATTCGGATTTAGTAYTAGTCACGTGTTGCAATAATTTTTTATTTATTTTTTATTTGAATAAATGTGTTAAGTGTTGGTTTCATTGAATGGATATGTGTTTAATTTAGTAAGGTCGTAACTCACCCATAACCGAATTGACAAATTTATTAAAAAAATGCTAAACAAATCAAATAACTCAATTTTTTACTGTTTTTAATAAAAAATTAATTTACATAGAGAAGACAAAGTAAATAAATTAAAATCTTGGAACTTAGAATCATTAAAATACACTTATGTGTCTAGAGCACACTACACTCATTATRCATGTAATACATCTTCAATAACAAGAAAAGTTTATTTAATTTTATGAAATGTTTGCTATTTTCTAGTTCTTAAAATAGTACAACGAAGTATTTTTTATTTAAAGATTCTTCAAGTAAAAATAATTTATKCCAAATGGCTTTACAGTTTCATACTTGACTCAAACAGGTTTTCTAATGAAAAAAATATTACTCTTACATTTATTAACATTTACACTAAGCGCCACAAAAAACGAAACAGAAAACAGTTTATTTAACCACTTTTGCAAAAATAATGAAATGAAATCTGGTTTATAATTCCATAATTTAATTTAATTACTTATCTTAAAATCTAGTTTATTCATGTCCACTACTGAAAGGTCTTTTTACATGTACTCGTAGTACAGCTTCAATAAACACGAAAAGTTTATTCAATTTTATGAAATATTTGCTATTTTCTGGTTCTTGAAAAAGCAAATTTTTTTATTTAAAGATTCTTCAAGTAAGAATAATTTATTCCAAATACCTTAACAGCTTCATTGTTGACTCAAAAGGGTTTTCTAATGATAAAATATTACTCTTACGAGTACATTTATTAATTTTTACACTAGAGGCTATAAAAACTGAAACAAAAAACAATTTATTTGACCAATTTTGGCCATTTTTTTCAAAGATGAAATAAAATAAAATTCATTTCCAAAAATGAAATACCTAAAATCTAGTTTGTTCGTGCCTACTCCTGGAAGGTTTGTTTTCTTATCATCAATTAACGTTTTATATGTGTCTGCTTACCAAATATGTAGTAAAAAAAGTTGTACATGTTAGTGATTACGGAAAATTACACAATTTTGATATTTTAGTAATAGTATAATTAAATGTTTTATGTTATTTGAAAAAAAAAATCCTTATCATATTCCACGTAAGCAGAAAATCATGATAAGTGACATAATTATTGTTACACATTTACGACATTAAAACAGTGACATTGAGTGAAAACTTCTTGATTAAGACGACTGATTCAAAGAGTTTTGAACTCAATTATCTCAAATTTAACCATTAATTTCGATATTCGTCGCCGAAATTAATTCTAATGACCATGCAATTAAATTTTTTCAGATGTCCTATAGAGGACATGCTTTTATTAAATACTAATAACAATAACWCATACAGAGTGAATAAAAAGTATAAAACCAAACGTCTTTTGCTTGAACTACTTATTTTTTGAAAAAACTAATTCATGAATAGTAAAATACTATAAAAATGTGACGTTTTATCAAAAATACAATTTTTCACAATTTCCTTTTGTTTTTGAGTTCTGCAAAACTTTTAATTTTTTTTGGTGGTGGTAACTGGTAAATGGTAATGGTAAATGGTAACCCGCTAGAAAACTGTATTTGATCTAAGGATTACAGCTATTTACATTTAATTCAATTTCTATCGAAAAAAAATTCATATGAGTTGACAAAAAAAATCGCAAAAAACACGATCATGTTTCATAGTAAGTACTGTAATTTTTAGTAATTATTTTCTGAAGGCAAATATGATTTCGTTCCATTCTTTTTATCCGCCTATAAGGATCTTAAATAACACAGAAACAAATTCCGATCATTATTGTAATTTATTTTGTTTCCATTACGCACAATTTATTTTGCTATAAATCATCATTTCAAAACGTAAACAGAAATGAGTTATACAGATTCACTATTCCTGCAGGACACTTAATTTATTTATTAAAAATCAGTCGCAGTATTTACTAATTCACACCAAAGTGTCAAAAAATCAAAAATGTTATTCCAAGGTTGCCACTTTTAATTCAGTGTTCTAACGTTCAATTATCACATTTGCAAAATATAGTTGTTTTTTTTTTCTTACCACGAATTTCAATTAAATTTCAATTAAAATTACCGTCTAGAAGAATCTTGACGGAAAAATTCTCGTCTATACGTACATAAAACAATTCTGTTTACCCACACGTAAACAATTCATTTTCCTTCCACGAAAAAATCGAGTGGCGCATTGCAAGAATTTTTTATAAGTAGCCTCCGATGTATTAATACAAATGTTTTTCTTCTATAAATATCGTTCATTATCGGCAATAACCAAACAAGCCGCCGATATTTGATAAGCCATCCTACATACAATTAGTGTCATTCGTTGTTGATACGCGATGGTTGATATTCCAAAATTCCGTCAAATTGCGACCACCTGTTCCCCCTTACTTTATTAAACCGTGTTGGTCGTTGCTTGGGCATGGTTTAGTTCGCGACGTACCAACGTTACCACCACACACAGACGAATTTATCACCCATCACCGAGTTGCAGTTGTCGCATTTTTTTTTTTTAAGTGCGTGAATGTGTGCATGACAAAATGGACGTAGGCAGAACGCTATTTTTGCAACTACCCAAAGAAAAAACCATCGATATCGAATTTGAGAATGTCACATATTCGGTTCCCCAGGGACGAAAAGGTAGCTCAATTTTTTTTTCTCACAATTAATCATAACATAACATAATGAATACACAGATACGGATTAATTATTCCACTGATTTTTTGTCTTGAAAAAATAAACAGAAGGTCAATGTTAACGGAATTAGAGTATTTTTCTGTAAATATCCACATCAAAAGTTCAAGTAGTGTTATCTTTGTGCAATTTTTGAGATAATGTTGGGTCACCCTGTGCAAAATTGCTACGATCTCGAGACTTGACAGGGGACACTAAATTATCCACAACTAACGCAAGAAAATAGGCATAAATTACCTTTTCCTATTTTTTCAGGTCAAAATTATTTTGCAACTGCTTCATTGTCTTATTTTCACATGTAGCATGTCAAACATTTAAAAAATTATTATTGTTGTAAATAAAAAATATTTTTAGCGCAATTACACGTGATAATTATCTTTTCAATGGTGACACTTTAGATTAGTATTTCGAAATCTTTCCACTTCACGTGCATTTTTTTGACCTGTTATCAAATACTAAACAATTTTCGAATAAAGTGACCTGTGACTTTGACCTCAAGTTGACAACACCGACAATTGACGTTTGAATGAATGACAGTTTATGGTACCAACTTAMTTTCAAAGTAATAGGACACTTGGGCAGAAAACTGGATTTGAAACCATTTTCTTTTCACTTTAGCAAGTTTAGTCGGGAAAACCTGTTTGAAAACATAACTCTTGTTAATACTAAAAATGACTAATTTAAATGTTTGAAAATAAAACAACTCATTATAAGCCACAATTAGGTGCATTTTTATGAAACTACTTAATTAAACAAATGAAAATTACACATTATTAAAATATGATAAATCCTATAAATGACAAAATAATTGTTGTGTAATTTTTTATGACATAATGTTAATATATAGTTATTGAAATTTTCTTTTAAGTAATGTTTATATCCTTGATCCTGAGTAAATTAACATTTATGACAAAATTACTTTGAAAAAAGTCGCTCTAAAACTCAATCACAAATATGCACGATAAAATTTTATGGACTCTAATTAAGTGATTTTTTCAAGTGGTAAAGTCCAAAACGCGTCCTTGAGTATCAATTAAAAAAAAACGTGCAATGAACCTGTCAATCCCAGAGAACACAAAATCCATTTCCGCCATTCTTCCATCTTCCCTGAGACCGGTTGAGGTTTTTTCTCGATTTCAAACCGGTCGCAAAACGTGTGTATTTTTCCCGCAATGATAAAGTTTTCTTGACCTGAATCTTGAACCCAAAAAATTGGCAACAGATCCAGGGCTGCGTTTGCAGCCCCAAAGGTTATTGCCTTGGTTGAGTGAACTCTGACACTACATATCATGAGGAAATGCTCTAGTTTCCAGTCGGTACGTTTCATCATTGATCAATCAGAGATTTCAACAAAAAAGTCTAATTACTTTGTTTACGATTTTCCTATTTATTTCCCTATTTTTTGTTCTCACTCATTGAGTGTCTCGATTCTGTTATTTTGAACTTTGCTTTTGCATACCGTCCGATTCCTATAATTTGTGTTATCGTCGTTTATCGGAGCAATAATAATTTGTAAGAACGAAAGAACTATCGAGGTCATTTATGCTAATTGTGTCAACGATGATAATAGTCCACCCTTGACGGAGATGTCCGAAAAAATCTTTCATAATTGATAATGTGCAAATAAACCTGACCCACATTGTGATAAGATTTTTCCGGAATTTGAAACGCAGTTGGTGGTTTTACACCTGATTCATATAAAATGTATTTTTTCCGGTAATTAGAGAATCACTGARAAACAAAACCAGTACCTGATTATTTACATTGCAAATTCATCTGTTAACATTTATCAAATTACGATAGCATTTATTGAAGGTCGAGACATGCAATAATTGTTCAACAAATCGTGAGCCTAAGACAAAAATTCATTGACTTTTTGACACCAACGACACGTAACACCGAAACCATTTACATAACTTTCCGCCAGTCATTCCTAGCCTACATAATAAAATGCGAAAGAAAGTTAAACCGAGACACGTTTTAGATTAAACAACAATTATTTTGGCCTTGCTCTAGGTCTAGGTTAAAATATYATTTAAACGAAATTCGTCTCGTTTCAGGAAGGAAGCAAATTGTCAAAGGCGTGTCTGGAAAGTTCAAATCGGGCGAGTTGACGGCCATTATGGGACCTTCCGGAGCAGGAAAAACATCCCTACTTAATATCTTAACTGGATTTCAGTAAGTTTCCACAAAGGAGCTCCAATTTGGAAATTCTATTCGTTATTTACTCATTACGATCCTATCGAAAAACAAACAATTTCTTAATTGGGATGGGTTTCTCGACTTAACCCTGGTCTCAAACCCGAAAAAAACCCAACAACACAACAATCTGAAAATGGGCCATTAGCTATTAGACCTCTCGCAAGGCTATCATTAGAGGTCGAAATGTTATCGCTTTGAAAAGGTGAACCAATTCACGATGAACCAGTTAAAAAACAATTGCAACAGAGGATCCGAAACAAGATTATCGGTTCGGGGTCCAGTCAAAACAAACGCCGACTTTTAAGCAATAAAATTATAAAAACAATCCTTTTTTATATTATTATTACATTTAACATGAGATCATTCGAACTGGATCAGCCATGGGGCAATTTTAAACGCAAAATCACGCGATAAATACGTTTGCAAACTCTCGATAATCAGTGATTTTTTTATTTCAATGCCGAAAAACAATGTTAATCCACTCGAAATAGATTAGCTGGCGAAATTTGGACCCGCTACTAAAGTTAAAAGCAGTTAAAAATGCATTCATGAACAAAAAAAAAACAAGAAAAATAAAAAATTCATCAGACTACAATTTACATTTCGCAAACAAAAACTGTAAGATTGACTTTTTTTACAGAACAAAAATTGCAACTTGCATCATAAAAAAACTACAAAACACAAACATTTTAGTATTTCATTTTTTCCAAAAACCTGCTACATACTAAAATTCTCAATTGAAAATGTATTAAAGTCAATTCCTTTTTTTTTTCAAAACAACAAGWTCCATAAAAAATTAAAACGAAGA